CCACCGTCACTTACCTCCTCCCACGCGTGCTGTTCCCGTTCGGGTGTCCATTTTCGTCCCTGTTCATTTGATATATGTGTGTGTGGCATTTCTCCATCTCTCGTTCTCTGTTTTTGGGCCTCGTATGGACGCTGCGGCCACGCCTGAAACACACACACACACACACACACACGTCCCCTTCTTTGGGTGTGCCTGAACTTGGATGAAATGGTGATGCGGATAAGCAAAGAAACAGACAAAAAAAGCTGCTTGTGCCTGCGGCTGCCTCTTCACGATGAGGGGCGCCGCCTCCATCGTTGCACGACTGCGTGAACGGCTGCTAGTGGCGCCGATGTCGCCGTCCACAGCGGCGGCAGTGTTGTGCAGCGAGCACCCCTGCGCGGACACCGGCGTCACCACACACTTGGTAAAATGCCTGGAGGGCAACGGTGTTCTTCTGCCGCTGCCGGCGGTGTTAGCGCTGGTGCGTTGTGGGTACACCCATGAGCCGGGCTCTGACCACCACGCGGCTCTGAGGAGTCAGTGGGGCCCGATGGAAGAGACGCTCTTCACCGCGCTCTGGATTCGCCTGCGGCGGCCGCGGGCGGAGGAGGACGCCGCGTGGGGCCATGTGCTGGCGCCCCATCCAGGCCTGGAGGCCACGGCGGGGCACGAGGGGTGTGGGCCGCATTCGCCAAACGCACTGCTGCAGACACTGCGGCTCCTGGTGGATGCCGCAGCTTTCGTCCACCACTCCTCACTCGCCTCAAAGGCGCTTCGGCTGCGTCTTTTGGCAGATGCCGTCTCGCCTTCGATGCGCCATGTCGACAGGCTCTGGCGTTGCCTAAATGAACTAGATGCAGCTGTTTTCCTCACGCCGGAGCAGCTGCATGAAATAGGGCGGCTGGCGGGGAAGTGCCTGCGCTTGTATGGGAAATGTATCCTCTCATTTCACCACGTCCTGTCTGCGATGTTGCTTGCAGGCACTTCGGCCTTGTCACAGACACTGCAGAGCAGCAACAGGGATGGGGCATGCGTCAAGGCTCCTGTGGTGCTGGATGCATTTTCCGAGATGCGGGACTTCCTGGTGGGTCTGCTCAGTCGCGCAGCTTGTGAGAGAGAGTTCTGGACCGGGTCAATAGAGCGCTGGATGGAGGTGGCGTTGCAGCTCGCGGAGCGCTTTACATCCGCGGCGGCGCCTCGAATCAAACGCGTTGGCACTGATGGGACCGCAGCGACGTTCCGCATGCCTCGCGCCCTGCATGCAGAGGCGATGAATGCGTTTTCGATTCTGCTTGCAACTTATCACCGCAGTGTTGCAACGGAGTTGGCGTCGGCGAGCAATGCAGCGTCGCCGGCGATGTATGGTAGCATCTTGGAGCGAGGCCTTGGCGTGTTGCGGCAGCTGCTGCTGCTGCAGCTGCAGCTGGTCTTGGGAGGCAACAGCGCCAAGGCGTTCTTGCCATTGGAGCCCACCCACGGCAGTGACGCCGAGGACGGCGGTTTGTCGGTGCGGGCGTGGTGCGCTTGCTGCGAGGCGGCGCAGGTGCTGTATGCACTCTCTTCTCTTTGTGAGAAATGCGGCGTGGCTGCCAACGCGTGTGGAGACGCCGAAGTGCGCTCTGTACTTCTGCGTGATGCCTTGCGCCGTCTCACTTGCGTGAGTGCCAGCGGCGCTGGCAACCACGCCGTGCTGCCAATCACATTTTACTTGACACTTGTGCGGATACTGCGGGCGTGGCGAGGTGCGCCGAATGCCGCGGAGTGCGTCTCCCCGACTGCGCTGTGGGATGCCGCACGTGTCGCGTTGCCCGGCAGCCTCGCCGCCTCGCCGCCTCCTGTGCAGCATGTGGTTTACCTGTTGGAGGAGCTCTGCAGCCGTATGCTATCCAGTGCCTCCGTGGCACCGAAGCCGTCATCGCCCCGCGTGAGGAAGGAAACGACTGTGGTGCGAGTGGCTGTGCGCGCGATGTGGGGTAACTGCCTGAGCCACATGCACGACAGACTCAGACTGGGGAGCACTGTCCTCTTGGACGACGAAGCCGCCTTTGCCCGGGGCATGTTGCACATTGGCGCAGCAGCCAATTGTGCGCAGGCGGGTGCTGTTGTTGGGCTGTTTGACGAACATCCCTTCCTTCTTGGCCAACTCTGTGACACGTTGCTGCCTGTGGAACGCGGCATGCGTCTTTGCTTTGATGCCGTGAGGGATCTGCAGGTGGAGGCGGGCAGCGACAGGAGGGCAGACGAGGGGGAGGAGGATGAGGAGGCCGACTATCGAGCGGTCCTTTCCGGCGGGGCGTATTGGTTCGTGTGCGAGGCGTGCCTGAGGGGGCGGCTCTGGCACGAGACGGACGACGTCATTGTGGGCGCCTCACGCGGCGTGTGCCACTGCGTGTTGCGTCGCCGCAGCGCCGCGGACGTTGTGGCCGCCTACGTGGAGTTCTTTGCTTCTCTGCTCCTGCACGGCAAGGCGAAGACGTGTGGGTCGGACCCGTTTGAAGAGCCCTTTGTTGCTTTGCAGTCGTTGTGTGCACGCGCGTCACCCCCTGCTGCGGCTGCTCTGGATTGCAACAGATCGATCAACTCTTTGCAACATGCGGGCGACGCGGCGCCCTCGTTCAGGGCTGCTGCCTCATTTCTCATTGAATGCCATCACCGGCTCCTCCTGCTTCCGCCATGCGGTGTGTTGCCGTCGCATGCGCGTCGAATGCTGCGCGCCGTGTTTGCGGTGTCGCCACGTTTTTTTGCATGTGTGCCGGAGCTTTCACAGTTTCTGCTGCGCCGACTCCTTAACGGCCCGCTGCCGGCGGCGGCGACGGCGAACACCGCTGCAGCCGCGGCTCCTGCGACGGGGAGCGCCGCCGCCTGCAGCGAGGCCGTGGAGGAGGAAGGCGCATGTGCTCTCATTGCGGTGGCGGATCCACGTGAGCTGTGGGAGGTGCTTCTCTGGGCGTGCGCGGCGAAGATCGCCCGGCTGGGCGTGTGCCTTCCAACTGACACGGAAGACCGCGGCGCCGAGCACGACTCTCCCCTTTTTTCGAGGGCCACCCCACCCGTTCGGTTGGACGACGACGCGGAGGAGCCGCTCCGCCTGCTGTACGGCACGAGTGATGACGGCGGCGACGTCTTCTTCGCAGCAAGGCGGCAGGTGCTGCGGCGGGCGCTTCAGTTATTGCAGGGCTGACGCCGTTTTCTCACAGTCCCTCTACTCGGAATTCGTTCGCCGCAGGATATATATATATATATATATATGTGTGTGTGTGCGTGTGCGTGTGTTTCGGTTATATTCAGTCTCCGCTTCCCTCGCTCTCTCTCTGTCTCTCTCTCTATACGTAATGCACTTCACGCTTCTTGTCGTGTCACTAGTGAAGTGTCGGGGCGTTTATTATTATTATTTACTTTTTTATTTATTTATTTTTCTTCTTCGCGGAGGCTTCTTCGGCTGCTGCCGTGCCCCCCTCCTCCTCCTCCTCCTCTTTCTCTCCGCGCACGTGTCCACCGCGGTCCTTCCGGCGTGCCTGTTTCAAGGCGCGTACCCGCGACGCTGCCACGCGCGCCGCCGTTTTGCTTCCGCTGCGTCTGGTGTGTCTCTCCCGCGTGTGCGTCGCCGCCGCCGTAGGCGCCCCGGTGTCTGCGGGGCGAGGCTCGCGACAACACTCAAATCAAAACGAAGTATTCCTCCCCCATCCCCCACCAAAAAAAAAAAACACTAACGGAAAAAAGGAAAGCGAGTAGGTGGGCGGCGGAGTAGTGGAGTGCGTCTGTCCATGTCTTTCCCCAGCGGCCGCAGGAGCCGCGCCGTCCTCGCCCCGCCTGTGCTCAACCCCTACGAGGCGGAGGCGGAGGAGACGTGGAGGGGCGTCGGGCACCGCAAGAGCCGCAGTTTTGACGCCGTCCCCTCCGCGCCGCCACCGCATCAGGCGCTGCGCCACGATGAGGTGACGGGAGAACGCGCGGCGTCGAAGGCGTCAGCGGCGGTGCCGCCGCCACTCCCGCCGTCGCCGGTGGTTCTTGTGTCCCCCCACAGCCACATTTCTGAGGAGGCCGGAGACACGCCGGAGGAGCTGCGGCGGCGGGCGCCACCGCGGCATGTCCCTGCCGGGCGAGTGAGGCGGCAAAAGGCGTCGTCGCCGATAAGTGTGCCGCGCACGCGTGCATCGGGCCCCCCCAACGCCCTCGTGAGGGTGGATGCGGACGCCGTGAGTGTGTCAACCGTCGCCGGTCCGGGGGCAACCGCGGCGTCGTCGGCACGCGATGCCTCCTGCCGTGAGACGCAGCGGCCGTGGTCCGCGCCGTCGGCCCAGCACACCCGTCATGCCTCTCTCTCCTCACAGGACGTGAGCCACCGGAACCCGGGGAAGCCGCATGAGCTGAGTGTAGGCAATACCAGGCGCCACGGCGCGGAGGTGGAGGGGACACAGCCTGCAGAAACTGCACCGCAAGAACCCCATCAGTATACTCCGTTTGTCGTTCAGGGTGCAGTCACGCAAAAAAATCCGTTTCGCACTCAGACCTATGAGGAGTTCTGCTGCGTGCCAGATTACAGTGCACCAGCGGACTGCCGCATTTACCAAGGCGACAACGTCGCCTACGCGGGATTTCAACGCGCGACGGAGAGGGAATTGCGCGAGCAACGTGCTACCGAAGTCTCTTCCAGCAGCCGACTGAGTTCCTCCGCCTCCTCGCTCTCCAAGTACCTTGTTGCTGGCGCTGCCTTGGGGACCCTGCAGACAGGCGACTGGTTTTACAAGTGGACACGACGTGGAAGGGTGCATGAGCGGTACGTTTGGCTGGATATTCAGCGTCAGTCACTGCTGTGGGGGCCAAGTCCACGCGCCGCATTTGTGCTTCTCTCGCATCTGCGCATAGATTCGGTCATTGATCTGCGCCCAGACTGCATGCTTGACGAGGCGACACAGCGCACTTTTTATCGCCTCTTTGTAGTAACCGAGGAGCGCATCGTTGTGTTTGCCACGGAGCTACGGGACAAGTTTGATGTCTGGTTTGATGCGCTGCAAAAGATAGTACTTGCCCACGGCTCCTCACGACAGTGGGGCCAACTCTGGGGGTCGCCAAGCGCGGGGGAGGCGGCAGCCGTGGAGGGCAGGTGGATCTCTCGCTGCAGCCCCTTACATGCCATCCTGCACGGCTACGAATCCCCCGGGCATCTTGGGGAAGCTGGGAATGTGCTTGGCGACCGGCGCAGCCAGGTCCTGCCAAGTGACTAGAGGAGCGGAAGAAAGTGAGGCGAGGGAGGAGACAGAGGAAAGTGGCATGCAGGGCGTGCAACGCAACTAGAGAGTGCCGTGGTAAACTAAGAAGGGTTGGAGCGGCACACGTACATATATATATATATATACGTGTGCGTGTCTGTGTGGGTGCGTCGCTGTGCATGTGTGCCGATGATGGTGAAAGGGGGCCACTGGAGCATGCGCCCTTTTACTCGCTCTCGTTCGGCTCACTGGTCCCTCCTGGATGCCGCATCCATCCCATTTCCCTCTCTTATTACTACTACTACTACTACTATTATTATTATTTGTATCGTTGTTGGTGTTGGTTGCTGCATTTCTTGCCGTGGCGGCGGAGTTCGCTCTCGCTTCCTCTCCCTCTCCAACTCTGGCCCCTCGAGCGGGCTACGCGCGTCAGGGCAGCGGGCGAGGGCGGCGAGGCACGAGCGGGGGTTGTTGGGTGGCGCCTCACGCAGCCGCCCTTCGTGTGTATGCAGTAGTGGTGGGCCCCCGCTCCTTCCTCCCGCACCCCTGTTTTTTTTCTCCCCCCTTTTCTTTTCTTTTGCGCGCTCACTGCCT